ATAATTAACAAATTAATTAGTTGCAACTAATCAATTAAAGAATTAATGATTAGTTATAAAAAATTGATTAAAAACTTATTTATTTACTTGATAAATTAGTTGCAACTATATACAAGTATAATTGTTAAACATACAATTGTATAAAATATATATATATATATAGTATATATATAAAATAGTAAATAACTATATATATAACTATACAGAAATTATATAAAAAAGTATATAAAAAAGTATAGTATTATATGTACTATTGTATAGAATTCATATCTTTTAACAAGCTTAATTCATATTTTTATGCATTGTTCTGTATTATATCTATATAGCTTTATATACTCTTGTGCTATTATATATTTATATTTGATTACAATATTTTTTATAAAGATAAAAGCAGTGCTATGGTAAGCTATCTATATACAAACTAAATATTTATTATTAATAATTTAGTGTTAGTATTTATTAATTCAAGTGGTCTAGTATTTTTTTTTTTTTTTTTTTTTACCTCTCTCCGCATCTCAAAGGTCCTTAGACACCTTCGGATCTCTCACATCTCTCAAAGGCCAGAGTTTTCGTATCTGCAGAGATTACCAGTATGGCAAATTGGCCACCTATATATCACCGTACAGGTGAGATAACTCATGCTCCGTTAAGTACGTCATATAATGTTTCGGGTCCCTGGTGCCGCGGTGTAGGATCTATATTCTCTAGATCCGCAGTTCCCTAACTTCACATGACCCACAAGCCAGATCGTCCTTTTATATCTGATATCCTTGATTCTATTAAGCTGAGTTTTTCTTAATTTTAGCTTCATTTGTTGACGGATTACACCTTATCTGGTTGTCCCCGGCCCTGTGGCTATGCTGGCAGACTGCAACTTGTACGAATCTTGTTCTTCATTTTTTAATGGAAAATCCTCCAAAGATCTTAGCCAATTGTGGTCCTAGCAAAGCCTTTTGTCACCCAGTAAACTCGAACTTGCGACCTTGCGATTGTGATCCGGGAGCACTAACCACTATGCTATCGACCCATGGGTCAAGTGGTCTAGTATTTTAGTATTTGATATAATTAAAGAATTGTTTGTCAAGTACTAATAAGTATTTAATAAACTTAATAAATTTGATAATAAAATATAAAGCTTGTATTTTATAATTATTATATATTTTTTATAAAAAAAAATATAATTTATATGATCTTTATTTTGAGAATAAATTTAGATATATCTATTTTTAATTAATAATATTAAAATTAAAATAATATACAGTAAACTTCTATAAATGCAATATATACAAACCAGCCTAAAATATATATTTAGAGAGATTTGCATTTAGAAAGAGTCAATCAAATTGAGTTTTAATATTTGATCTGCAGGCTTGTATAACAAACTTAAATACTAACTTCTGATTAGCTATGTGCATTTAGAGAGATTAGTATGATATAAAAAATCTTTTGAGTGAATATACATTTGCAAAATATAGAATATGTATTTAGTACTAATGATTTAATGCAACCAAGACAAAAACATGTATTTAGAGAAGTATTGTATTTATAAAAGTTGCATTTAGGAAGGTCTAATTGTACTAGTTTTTTATATTTATATCTTTATATATTTGGTATATATATATACAGTAAAGAGAGACCTCTCTAAGTACACTCTTTAACTAAACAATGAACAAATTATATACAATTAATATATTAACAACACCCTCTATGAATGTACTCTTTATGTAAAATCTTTTTAAATACATGGTATAATTTAGTTCTAGTTTATAATTGTACTATATGTTTTTCTCTCTATAAATGCACACCCTTTCTAAGTACACATTTTTAGAAATTTTCACTATATCTAGAGGGGGTGCATTTAGAGAGGGATCTCTGTATACTTTTTCAAAACTGATTCTATCAAAACTAATAACATATTATACCTAATAAAAAATTAGTTAACTATATCTGTTCTATAATTTAAATCTGATAACCTACTATTTTTGATAACTGATACTTAAATGACCAGATATTTATAAGATATCAGATTTGTTAAATAATATAAATTAATTTGATTAGCTCAGATCGAGTTAGAGTGACTAAATAGATATATAATAAATATAATCTAACTAATTATATTTATTTATAATCACATGACTAGCAAGCTATCAATTAGTTAGAGTATATAATAGTCTATTAAAATAAATATAGACAGGGTCATTAATGATTATTACTAATTGTAATTTTTTTATAGGTATTGATACATATATATTAATCTTATTAAAACAAAATTATATTTATTAAAATAAATAATTAATTAAATAGAATACTATTTTTTAAAATTTAATCCCAAAACTAGTTCTATACTGAAATAGAGAAAATTTTTTTAATATTTTTATAAAAAATATTTAAATATTAATAATTAGTATTTTTGATTTCAATATTTTATATTATTAATATTTTTTATTTTTTTAAAAAAAAATTAAAAAAATAGCTCTATTTTAGTGTAAAAATAGTTTAAAGCTTCAATTTTAAAAAAAATAACATAATTTTTAATTAATTACTGTATTTTATTTCAAAAATATAATTTTATTTTAATAAATAATCACACTAATGTGAAGTTTTCACATTAATATGATTATTGCTATAAATTTTACTAAAATAAAATTGCATTTTTTGAAATAAATAAATAATTATTCCATGTCCCAATATGATCGCATGACGGAGATTTGCATGTTATAAATCACAATATTTATCACTATGCTTATAACGAGTTTTTTTTATTAATTATTATCACCCCAGGTTTGCTTTTATTACCCCGAGGAGATAATTAAAATTGTTATTGAAACGAATTATAGATATTTTAAAAATTATATTGTATTGTGACGAAAATTTATTAAAATTGTATTATATTAGATCATTGGAAGCAAAAGTTCATAAAATTGTTATTGGACCAGGCCTCTATAATAAAAGCTTTTTAATTCATTATCGCAATTTATTACAGTAAAATATCCTAATTTAATTACTTATTAAAAGAAATTTTGATGTCAATATTGCAATCTTTACAATTTTCAACTATAATTTTAGGTGCACTTTCAATCAGATTAGAATTAGAAAGCAGAAAACTTTCTTGAGCATTCTCCTGAACATTTTTGGGAATATTTTCTTTACTTTTCTTGACTAGACTAATAAAAGGCTTTGAGGCATCATATGGCTTGAAAGGTTTGGACTTGAAAATTTTAGATCGAATTAGATGAAGATCAATTGGAAGAGACTTTAATGGTAATCTTGAAGAAACTAAGAGAGATATTTATTTGTAAAAAATATAAATTTGATAATGATATTAATAATACGTATATATAAAATAAACTTGCCTGAATCTTGATTTGAATCTTGATATAAATCTTGATTTGAATCTTGCTTTGGAATAATCATTAAAACAGTACTATTCATTATCTCTTTCATAAATGTTTGATATGATGCAACTCTACCAAGTGAACGGTGTCCACTAAATGCCATTATACGATCTGTTGTTACATTAAGTTGAGTAAGTATTTGTATTGCACTTCTTCTCATTGAATGATTGGTTATTTTTTTGTAGTTTATATCAACAACTCCTGTTTTTTGACAAATTTCTCTAATCATCTTTTTATGTGAATGTCATCCAAGTCCAGCATCATAAAACCAAATGCCTTTTGCAAAATCTATAAAAAAAAATTTAATTAGAAAAAAATATATTAATAAAAAAATTTACTGTAAGTAAAATACCATTATCAGAAGCGATTTGAAGAAAAAATTCTTCAGATTTAAAGTAAGTTCCTCGACGAAACATGTAATATAAAATATCTGAAACAGAAGTAAACTTATCATACATATCAGAAGGTATTTGACATACCCGACCTGCATTACTAAGATTTTTTAAACCACCTGCATGATTCTTCTCACGAGAAATAGTAATTTTTAAAGTCTTATCTGTATTCACTTTAACATGATCAAATTTAAGTCGCTTAGCATCTCCACCTCGTAATCTACCTAGAAGACACAACCAAAAATATACTCGATATGTAATAGAAGTTGGTGTGTCTTCTAAAAGATTTTCATTATTCAAAATATTTAAATTATTTCATCTTGAGTAAGTGAATCACTTTTATTTGCTTGTAGTGGATTTGTATCCTGAACCAATTTGATTTTTCCATCAATTGTTGCAAATAAATGTGGGAATTGGTTTTTATCAAGTATGTTCGGTTTGGGATCTTGACATGAGTTTATTTGCAAATGATGTGTAATTCCGCAATAATAGTTATAGATTGATGTAGGTGCATAAGGTTTGCCATCTTTTCTTTTTAAAGCTACAAAGAATTGGATAGAATATTTTCTAATTCTGAGTGATCTTTAATCTGTGTAATATCACCCATAAGGTTTGTATCCTTGAAATATTTCTTAATCGCATTAACCCAAGTTTGAGTATTATGAATTGTGTTCTTTACAATAGCATAATTCATTGTATGATCAATATCACTTTGAGAAGGTGCAACAAATCGTCTCTAAAAAAAGAATTATATAGTAATTTATATAAGTTATATAATTCACAAATAAATAAATAAATATATAGACCTCGTCATCACTGGATTTGTTAAGATCATCATTAATATCTTCTGTAGAAGTAGCAGTAGTATCTGAATTGAATGAATTACTTGTTTGTTTATATGACCTTAAGTTATATAGTTGTGAAGCCGAAGTAAAATTTAATTTATCCTGGTTCATTATTTGAATAAAAAAAAACTAATAAAAGAAATCTAAGTGAAAAAAGTAAAATTCTAGTAAATAAAGAATGCGAAAAGTAAAAATTCAACGAAAGATGAAATGTAATTTCACAAAAAAAAAATTGTATTTATATCTGGTCTAAAGTTTATTTTTATAGTGATAGGTATGTGATTTATAATATTAATCGTTGTCATGTTGTCATATGGTACGTAGAATAACTCATTTATTCCACTATGCCAGGGAATAAATAGTACTTAATTAATATACTATTTTTTTTAAATTGAAGTTCCAAACTAGCTTTATACTAAAATAGAGTTATTATTTAATTTTATTTTTTAAAAGTAAAAAATACTAATAATTGAAACCTAAAACACTAATTATTAGTTTTCTAAATATTTTATAAAAATATAAATAATTCTATTTCAGTATAGAGCTAGTCTTGAGGTTTAATTTTAAAAAAAATAGTATTCTTTTAGTTAATAATTTAGATTTACCATTTTGTACTAGTTCTAGTATATTTTTAAAAACTCATAAAAATCTAAAAAATTTAAAAACTTAATTTTTTATATACAAAAATCTGATAATTATTCAAAAATTGGTTAGTAGTATTTTTTTATATTAATAATAAAATAGTTAAGATAAAATTTTTTAATAACGTGTATTTTTTGTATAACATTTTTGTATTAGTTCTAGTATATTTCTGAAGATATTTTTTATTATGAAATTACTATTGAAATTTTAAATTAATGTTATAACAAAAAAATTTTTATCAAAAATTGTAAATTTTTTTTAAAAAATCAAAAATAATATATAAACATATCAAACTTTTTTATATAATTCCCAATATCTAACAAATCATAATAAGTTATTTAAAATTATAATTAATTATTAAAATTACTAGATAATTGCATTTAAAAGGTGTACTAAAACTAGTACAATGTACTATTTCAAGTATGGGTAAATCCAATCCATTAATTATTTATTTCAATAAATGTTTAATTAGATTGATATGTGTGCATCGATACCCAAAATCCGCAATTAGTGATGATCATTAGTGACCCATAGGCCAGGGAAGTACGTACATTTTTGATGTCCAAAGCCTTTTTTTGGCATGTCCAACGTCCAAACGTCCAAGCGTCCAAAGCTTATCTAAGCTTTAATAATTAAAAAATTCATTTTAAAAAAACATGATTATATATTTTATTTAATTTTAACCATTTTTACTTAGAAAGTTGAAATAGGCTATCTTAGTAAGATTTTGAGCAATTTTAATATTTAAAAATGTCCAAGATGTTCAATCTTTAGCCAAATACTGTTCCGTGACATCTCTGCCATAGGCCGTTACACACCCTAACGATTAGTATCAGTAAATGAATTTAAGGTTTGTATACAATGTAACAGTTTTTGCAGCATTAAATATTGTAACAATAAATAATGTCAATTAATGGCAATTAATGTTAAAAATATTGATTTGAAATTAAAAAAAGTTTTCAGACAATATCTAAAAGTGTCAAGATGGGACATATTTAAGAAATACATAATGTGATATTTGCGTATAATCGTTAAAACATTTTGAAAAAGCTACTCTTATGAATTATTCTGAAGGGATATATGTTATGGAATAGTAAATTCGATATGATGGATTAAACATTAGCGATTATTAGAATTATTCAGTGAAAGTGAAAATCTGTTATCCTAGATCCTTATAATAAAATTGAAAATATTAAAGAAATGAACAAGATGAGGATCTCTTGCAATATAGAAGACATCACTAATAACACGTATTATTAATCAATTGATCTAGAATAGGTGTCACCCATACTGCAAGAGATCCCAAGATGATTTGCTATCGTGTGTGGGATAATGAAATACTATTCGTTCTCAGTACTTAGGTTGTGTCTCAGTGCGTAACTCTTGTCATCCCATCTAACATCCAAATTTTGTAATTTAAAGTATAATATAAACAAAGAATAAACCTTTTAAAATTAAACATTAGGTTGTCATACGACAACTAAAAACATCCAAATGTGGTTGTATGTATAAATCCTTTTCATTTTGGACAATGACTTTAGTGCATACGTCTATTGCTTATTAAGTATTCTGTAAAGTAACCAGTCTACAACAACGAACATGAATATATTCTCAAAAATCTTTGGAGATAACGATGAAGAAAAATGTTTTAGTTCTAAAATTGATGATAATATACCTATTAATAAAAAATTTAAATTGGATGTAAAACTTGAAGATGTGCGGAAAGAGTTAGCAGAACATCGAGATGAATGGAAAGCAGAAAAGCTTTTATTTAAATATGATGGAAGTCGGATACTCCATGAGGATGAACCTAATTATACAATAAATGAACTCCTTAAACCAAATAAATATATATGTATCGAAAATCTGTTAAAAGAAATCAATGTTTATTTAGATAATAAAGATGGCAAAATGTTGCTTCCTTTTTTAGATCCTAAAGATAAACTAAAAGACATTCGCAAAATACTCACTGAAAAAAGCGAACATGAAGAAATTGTTAATGGATTCAAGTTCAGATGGCAGAATGGAACCATCGTTAATGAATGCCAAGAGGATGTTAGAAAGTTGGAAGAAATTTTGGTAAATGGCAACGAGTTATATATTCCACAAAAAAGAAAGGTCATAATTTACAGTAGTCATAGTAAAACTCCCAGTCAACCACTTATATATGATTTAGATAAAGGAAAAAGTCTTACAGATATTCGAGAAGAACTTGAGAGCACTTGGAAAGAACAAACTCAGTTATATATGTGTTCGGATTGTTATTTTCTAGACCAAAAAAAGGCATGCATTAGTAGAGACAAAGAAAATAATTTAAAGCTGGAGGATATTTTATCAATTGAAAATGGCGATGATGTATTAAATATTTATCGAGAACATGAACATGACCTAATAAAGTTGACTAATAAATGTGGGTATGGATTTATAATGAAGGATGGTTCGGTCGAACAAGCAAAATATCGTGCATTTACAATCGAAGAAACACCAGAATGTCACAGTTTTGAAGATAAATGTGAATAAGATTTATTCGAATGTAAAAATGAATTTCAAGAATTATATAAACGAAACTTTATTACATTTGGTACAACGTCTATTCTACCATGGGTTTCCATTTTTATGAAAGCCAGCTACAGTTCCTCATAAAAAACTAGAAAATTATAAAATGGCTATAAAATATTCATACATTAAGTTGAGACGAATGAGTGTAAATATTTCAAGGAGCAAAATTTCAGTAGCTGGTGAATTTGTTGAAGTTAAAAATGCATTAAGCAAAGGGAATCAAGCAGAAAAGGTAACAAATCTTAAAAAAATAGCAGAAAATTATGGCTATTTTTACGCAAGTTCAGTATACTTTGGAGGTATTATCGTTTAAAAAATAGAAGACACAGAGTGTTATACACTTCCATATTAATGTTTGCTTAAATATTGATAACGCTCTTTTAAAATAAATATAAACATATAGAATATCAAGAATCGGTTAAGTCATTTCATATCAAATCTCAATTGGCGGGCACCAACTTGGAAACTGGAACAAGCACTGCTATGGAGTCAAGAAGTATTAAATCTAGATACGCAATAAAAGGGGGAGATAAGTCCTGCAACCTTTCTGGTTGGATAAATTCACTCCAAGATCCAGAGAAATGGGAAATAATT